AAAATAATAGCCTATACTTACTACAGTAACTCCATCGTTAAACAGTGCTTCACCGAACACATTCACGAAGATAAATTCGTTAACATTAATTTCCTCGAACACCGCGATGACGGCAACCTAAACTCACTTTGAAAACTTTCGCTAACGATTATAGATCATTCTGCATCGATTCTTACTGACAGGGTCAACTGCCGAAATTAGTGCGGAAAATACGAAGATTTCCGTTGTAGAGAATTCCATTGAGAAGAGTCCATAGCTTGAAAGGAGCAACAATGAGCTTCCTAAATATGAAAAAAATGTGCGCAGCAAGTTTTACTACATAAATGAAAAATCAGGCGAGAGTTTTTCCCCAATAATGAAGAAGTTCTTGAGATGAACATGAATGATAATTTAAACGCAACAGTGCTAGGTATGTTGATATTAGTAATGGCTCATTAAACGTAAGAAAAATGAGAATGCATAAATATGAAGGTCGAAAAAAGACAGTGACAGAAAACACCAAAAAATTTCGTAAAGAGTAATGAGCTGAGGAAGTAAAAGTGCTTATTGTTTTCAACATTCTTACTTAATGTGACAATTGTAGAAGCATGAAATCTGCACAAAAACAAAACCTGAGAAATATGCAAAGATGCCGGAATAAAAAAAACGAGATTATTCCAAAATTTACGCCAACACAAAAACATGTGTTTTACTTCAAAACTATTAGCGTTAATAAAGCGTGCGACTTGTTAAAACTACAATTTTTGGAACCTCTAGGTAAATTTTTCTTAATTCCAAGATTAAAAAGGAGAGATTAATCTATTCAAACTATTGACAAAGCTAAATGTTTTAACTGCAGGTGGAAATCCTGAGAGAACAAAAACATGACTGGACCTTGAATGACCTAGTCCTTCATATATTTTGCGAAAATAGTTGCAAGAATTGTGGCTTGCAAAATTTGCCCTTACAGATCTGATAATAATAGGTGAAATATTGCTGTCATTTACAATAAAAAATTAACGCTCGGGAATACAGTCTAATATTAATTTATTAGTTTAGTTGTAGTTAGTGAGTTAGTGATAGTTTATCAGTCTAATATTAATTTATTTTTTCCATAGACACTCCTTGTAAAACGACTGTAACCAGACAAGACACCTACTTAAATTCATTTTTATTTCCTAGGGTTCACAAAGTCAAGTGAGCATTATAGCATAGGATTAAATCATATTCCTTAAAACTCATGACAGAAAATTTTTGAGATCAATAACTCGTTTCAGTCTTTTGCCAAATCCGCCTCTCCCAGTAAAGAAATTTCCTGTTTTGTCGCCTTTTCGACTAACAATAGCCCATTTCTGGCATGATAACTACTGACACTTTCAATAAACAATTGAAACATTAAATTTCAGGGCTGCAAAGAACGGAAACGAATTCTTTTTGCAACATATACGTTAAGTAAATTGAAAATGATTTATGCAGTAGCGCGATGGACAATTTAATTAGTTCTGATATGCCTCCTACTAAGAAACATAAAAATATTGAAATTACAGCCGTTTAACTTTCTGTCGCATTCTATCCTGGTTTGGCAAATTCGAATGCTTTTTTGTAACAATCATGATGTAAAGCATGATTCGCATATGTTCTCTTCTTTTTTGCTAAAGCTTTGTTACAAAGACTATCCGAGCAACGCTGATCAAAATTAGGGGTAAGCGTGTTAGCGTGTTCGTACATCGCTACAACCGGTCATACGTCTACAAATCGTAGGCCTTCCATCTATCCAATGAATCGCATCAACAGTCGATTGACTTATGAGATTTAACAAGAAACCTACCAATAGCTATGCAATTCCATATTGTTCCTACTACAGCAAAGAGAAGTACGGAATCGCAGTTTTCGAAAAGTGCTCTGTTGGGCATGAAGTAGCCTAAAATACATTCCATCAATAGAAACAACAAAATAGCTAATTAGTACCCACCTGCATCAAAGATGATAGGCGGCAGGAGATACAGGAAGAACACATGCGAATCAAGAGAATAAGTGATGTGTGCTCCTGATTGTTTGAGAATTAGCCCAAGCAGAAGTCCCACTGCGATTAGAAGTGAGGAGTCCGGAAACGCGTTCGCAATCGGTTTGTACAAGTGGAACACTAGAAAGTCCAAAGATAAGCTAATACTGATTTGAAGTTACTTCTGGGTATTTTGAAAATTTACGAAGAGATGAAAGGAAAAACGTTAATAAAAAACAAACTTTTTTCCAAAAAAATTGTCGATCTCTAATAAAGCAAGGAACATTGGAACATCAAATGGGTTCAAGTAGTCATACTATATTTTCATGTAAATGTAGTTTCCTAGCAATCTGGCACAATATTCTCAAGAATGCAGAAGAAAAACATAAACTCAGATGGAAACATACAGATTTTCGCTAAAGCCGCAATCAATAACCATGTGGCAATCATATAGGGGGTTTCGTTCGGTTCCCATCGAAATGTGACTACCTAGAAAACATTGTATTCATTAAAAAAGTAACCTGACACAAGTATATAACAAC